TCAGAAGTTTTCCTTAATATGTAAATTTTCCGACATTTTTCACTACTTTATCAGCTTCTGACAAGCCTTTAGCTTCCACTTATCCTTCTGACGATTTTTTTACTGCTTTTTTTCATGATCTTCTTTATCTACGTAAATTTTCAGCCTTGCACATTGACAGTTTTTTTAGTCAGAAAATATACATGTTTAAGCGTCCGCCTACGCACTCATCTTCCAGCGCGCCTTCTGACGGTCGGGCTTTCGCTTTACTGACGAAAATCGAACCTTTTCCAGGTAAAATTTTTCATGCACCGAGGCATGTCGATCTCTATGTAGCCAGCTCTTAGACTATTATTATCGCTTATATTAATTCTAGGACCTACATTTGAGACGCCCTGCTGTCTTTTGCACTTCGGATCATGGCTCTTCACGTCAACGAGCACCAGTACCACGTTTGTTTCCGACCTGAGTACATCGGTGTGTTTTTTTTTGTGTGTTTTCTACAACCAGTGTAAGTGTTCGGTATCCGAAACTACGTGTGTGCCCTTTCTCTTTTTCTACAAAACTCTGTTTTTAGTGTCCACCATGTCGCGATTTGTATACTCATCGTGTACCGATGAGAGCGCGGAGGAGTCGTCCTCCTGTGACGGTGCAAGGTCGCCGTCCCTTAGTTCTGAGAGGTCGTCCGGGGTTTCTATCCCTTCGCGCCCTGCGACTCCCCACACCCCCGAGAGTCCGCCGCCTTCACCATCGGGCTCCTCGGAGGTGGTTTTCGTCTGCTCGCGGCCCCCGCCGCCCGCCTCCCCCGATCCAGAGAATAACCCGGAGGATGACTCGGACGTCATTTGTTTGGGGCCCCCGCCGCCCGTCGTCCACCCCCTCATCGTACTTTTAGACGATGAGTGAGGCAACCTGGTAAGTTCCTTTAACTTTTAACTTTTTATAAAGGCTTTCAGCCTATTCACGTGCACGTTTTGCGTGCGCCGTCCTGCTTTTACTGCATACGTTACGTCTGACGTTTTCGCGATTATCACATAAGGTCCTATCCACTTTGATTCTAACTTCTTGGATCTGCCTCTTCTCAGTGTCTCGTCATAAAGCAAGACTTTTTCTCCTACGCTAAACGCTGCTTGCTTTGTCTTTTTATCATAATAACGCTTTGCTTGTTCCTTTTCTTCTTTGAGCTTTTCTCGCGCTACTCGATTTGTCGCTCGCAATCTTTCTTTTAATTCTTGCGCGTAGTTTTCCAGATTGTATTGTGTAGACGGTGGTTTCGTTAAGGCGGTCGGTAATTTCGCGCACCTCCCGTATACTAACTCGAAGGGTGTAAACCCTGTTGCCGTGTGTGGTGTCGTGTTGTACGCGAACATTGCGTACGGCACCCACTCGTCCCAGTCCGTCTGGTCCTCATTCACGTAGTGACGTATATACTCGGCTAACGTTCGATGCGAACGCTCTAACGCTCCGTTACTTTCCGGATGATAGGCTGTCGTTTGTATTTTATTTATTCGCAGTAACTTGCAAACACCTTTAAACAGTTCGCTTACAAAATTCGTTCCTTGATCTGTTAAAATCGTTTCCGGAATTCCGTGCTCACACACACTTTTCGTCGCGAACTCCTTTGCTACCGTAGCGGCTTCTTGATTCGGAACGGATATCGCCTTACTAAACTTCGTAAGACTGTTTTGAAACGTCAGCAGATATTTATTTCCACTACTTGTCACCGGTAACGGTCCGACAATATCAAGCGCGCATTTTTCGAAAGGCTTTTTCGGCGTATCCGTAATTACTAACGGTACTTTTATTTTCCGTGACAACTTAATCTTTTGGCAGGATTCGCATTTCGAAATATAATTCTCCACGTCGCTTGTCAGCTTAGGCCAGTCGTATCTCATTCTTATTCTTTTTACTGTACGTGCTATTCCTTGGTGTGCGCCCACCGGTGAATCATGATACTTGTATAGTATCTGTCTCTTTTCCTCTTCGGTTAGCTCTTGCCTCTCGCTCTTCTCTTCTTCTGTTTTCTCGCTCTCCTTCGCTTCGTACGTGCATGCTTCCGCGGGAGCTCTGCTCAACGCGTCCGCGTTGGTATTTGCCTTCTCTTTCTTATGCATGATCTCGTAATCATACTCCTCCAGTTTCAAACGCCTACGCACGAGCCGCGATCCGGGGTCCTTTACGTTAAAAAGCCACACCAGTGCCTTATGATCGGTGATAATCTTGAACTTCGTTTCGTATAAATAAGGCCTAAAATGCTTTACTGCCCACACAATTGCGAGTAACTCCTTCTGTGTCGTACTGTAGTTTCGCTCCGCTTTATTCAGTACTCGGCTCGCGTATGCAACCGGCCGATCCTGACCTACCGCACTTTCCGATAGCACCGCGCCGACCACGTAACCCGACGCGTCGTTTGTCACGATAAACTCCTTGGCGAAGTCCGGAGAAGCGAGCAATGGAGCACTAATTAACTTTTCTTTTAAACTTTCGAACGCTTGTTGTTGCTCGTGCCCCCACTCGAACGCTATTTCTTTCTGCAACAGTCGTGTCAACGGCTTTGCTACTTTTGAGAATTGGTCGATAAATTCCCTATAATATCCTGCCAGACCATTGAACGCCTGAATATTTTTCGCCCTTTTCGGAATCGGAAATCCCTTGACCGCGTTTATCTTTGACGGATCCGGCGATATACCCTTCTTGGTGATCACGTGCCCTAAATACGTGACCTTTTTGCGAAAAAATTCGCACTTACCTGGCTGCAACTTTAAATTATACTTCCGCAACCTGTCAAAAACCTCTCGTAGCCGCTTGCTGTGCTTTTTCAAGCTCGCACCGTGTATCACGATATCGTCGAGGTATACGAAACACTTTATACCTCGCAGTCCCATCAGGACCAAATTCATCAACCTTGGAAACGTCGCCGGCGCATTTTTTAATCCAAAAGGCATTCTGTTATATTCGTAGTGACCATGCAGTGTTGAAAACGCTGTCTTACTTCTGTCTTCTTCGTCCATTGGTATCTGATGATACCCGGACGCCAAATCTAAAGTTGAGAAATACATTGCGTTCCCAAGTTGATCTAATATTTCTGCAATATTTGGTAGTGGAAAAGAATCGCCTATTGTCGCCTCGTTTAGTCGTCAAAAATCTACGACTATCCTTAACTTGCTCACGCTGGACGCGTCCATCTTTTTCGGAACAACTAGTAAAGGCGCGTTCCACTGACTTTCACTATCGCGAATTATTCCGCTTTCTAACATTTCTCCGATTTGCTTTTCTACCTCTTGCTTATGCTTCTGCGGCAACCTATACGGCTTAACGCTTATCGGAGTGGTGTCAACTCTTACAGGTATCTTATGCTTCACCGCGCTTGTTTTAGATAACGGCTCCTCTGCAAGATGGAATATATCCTGATACTCCTCGCATACTTCGTACAATGTTTCTTTCTTTTCTTTATTTAAATGCTTCATTTGCAGTGCCTCTTTTACTCTTTCGCGGCGTGTTGACCCCTTTGGTTTCTTGCTTACGTTTGCTATTTCACTACTTGTCTCGCTCTCTTCTTCGAGCGCTTTTAATTTGCCACGCGGTGTGCCTATTGTTACCGCTTTTTCCGTAGTATTTACTATACTCACGGAGCAAAAATTTCCTTTCGGTTGCACTAAACAGCTTCCTATGAATACTCCTGGCTGCGTTTCGTCCCTTTGTACTATTCCGATTTGATTACTATCAGTAATAGTTTGCACAATTGTTTCGCTACGAGGTTGCAATTTTACATTTTTATACGGGCGCAATTGCAACGTAGTTTTCCCAAGCGAGAGGTTTCCCGCTTTGTAATCCGGCTTGGCATTGTGCTTCTTCATAAAGTACTTTCCTAAAATGCCCTGATAACTAACCGGAAAATCGTCTCTCACAACATAAACAGGATGCTTAACTCTTTTGTCTTTTAGCTGTATGGTTGCTGTGATTTTCCTTATGACGCTTGCTTGGTGCCCTGTAACGCCTGTTAATTTCATACTCGTCTTCTCGGCTGGCGTTTTCTCTTTTAAATATTTCTTCTTAATCAATGACACTGTGGCTCCAGTGTCATAAAGCAATTCTACTTCACCTTTCTTCGCTTCTTTCATCGGTACAGTGACTAAGTCCAAAACTGCTTGCGCAGCATTTAGCTCGGCTACTTGTAGCTCTGCTACTGACACGGATTTTTTCTTTTCTTTTCCGTTGTCGCCTTCGTCACTCGATGACTCGCTATTGTCACTTCGGCGTTTCTTTTTCCTATCTTTTGCCGCACATATGGCTTTTACAGCTCCTTTTTTATTTTTCCTGCCTTTCAGTGACCAGCAATTTTCTTTGATATGCCCTGCCTTTTTACAATAACTGCACGTTTTGTCTACAGCATTTACTTTTCCACCGCTTGGTTTAGGCAATGCCATTCTGTTTGATCGGCACTCTTTTCCGTAGTGTCCGATTTTTCCGCATTTGTAGCACGCATTTTTCTCATAATTTTTTTCCATCTTTTGCTTTGTTGCAAAATTTCTTCCGTGGCTGTTTTGTGGCACCGCCACCTTCTCCTCAGAGCTTGCTGCATTTATTGCCTCTTGCAACGTTCCATAGTTGCGTGACCTTATTATCAACCTGACGTCATTTCTTAAACTTATTTGGAACTGTTGCAACGCTTGCCCTTTAATAGTGTTCATAATTGTACGTTTCTCTTCCATAATGTGCCCTTTGGCTTCCACCATAGACTCGTACAATTCCATGGCCGTTTGATTTACCCTTTGTCCGTAAGTCTGTGCGCTTTCATTACTTTTTTGTCGTAATGTGTTAAACTCTAGTTGTAATTGTGTAGTGCTTCTCTTTGCAGAATACGTAGCTTCTATTTCTGCTTTTAACTGTCCAAAATCGCGAATGTCCTTTGTCTCACAATTTATCAATGCTTGCCCTTTCAGCTTGGTTCGCAATACTGTTTGCAAAAGAGCGGGTTCTTCCGCAAGGGTGACCATTCTCTCTGCGTACTCGCATGCATTTAAAAATTCTCGAAGTTGCTCGGATGATTTCCCGGTAAACGTCGGTATCATTCCGACCACATCCTTTAATTTCAGACTTCCAATATATATCACGGCGCGATTTCTTACGTCGTCAGCTGTTTGCCCGTACGTTACGTCTAGCTGTTTGCTCGGACGTCTGTACACGTGTCGCGTCATCGACACGCCCTTTCCGGGCCCGTGCGTCTCGCGGAGTTCCGTCACCCGTCGGTCCACCGCGTCTATTCGCGAACTTATTTTTTCTAGCGACCGCACTACCTGCTGTAGCATTGCGTCAGTGGGGTTGTTACCGTGCCCACTTGTTTTCGCGGCCCCGCGCCCCGCGGTGCCGCCCGCAGTCAACTTGTTTCGCATCCGTGAAATTTCTCTTTCTACTTCTTCGCGAGCCCGGTTTATATTTTGTTCGTCAAATTCTTGTTCCATACTTTCGTTATTTATTTCGGCCCGCTGTCTTGTGTAAAACAACTCGCTCTCGTATGAAATTAAAGAAGACCTCTGAGTATCACTGCCCGGGGTTCCACTGTTCTCAACTCTACCGGGATTTAGTACACTTTGTAAATGACCGGCTATACTACCGTCTAAATCAAACGGAAATTCTCTTTCTACAATTACATTCGGACTCAAATTCCTATCCTGTCTATTTATTTCTGCTTCTTGATAAAGCGCCGCCGGTGCGGTTCTTGGTTCCCGTACTGGTATTAGACTTCGTAACGACCGCGCTACTCGCTCGGATTGTACGCCGCGTTGTTGCAACCGCCAGGTACCGAACATATGTTTTCGCTCGCTTTTACAAAATTTATTCGACTTACAGTAGGTGATCTCATTCCGCTTACGAAAGTCGTATTTGCGTGGTGTTGCTGACTTAGATTTTTTCGCGCCGCCGCTGCCGCTGCTTCGCCGCTTTGCTGGTCCGTTGTTTCGCTGCTTCTCTGCTACCGCTGCTTCGCCGCTACCGCTGCTTTGCTTGCGTTGACTGCCTTATCTTCTTTGCTGCTTTTTCAGGTGTCCTTAGCTGGTTCCTCGGTGCCCTTCCGTCACAACTGCTTGTCTGCTTGCCGCTTACTGCTTCCGGAGTTTCCCGGCGGTAAATTTTTCCGTTCTGCTGCTGCAGTCCGGCCGCTTCCTTATCCCCGCCTTGTGTCACTGCCCGTCGCTTGGCTTGCGTTAGGTCAGTGTTGCCGTGTAACTCGAGACTGTGAATTCGCGGTGTCTTTCTTTCTTTCTTGAACTCGTAGTTCACAAAACATTCTTTTAATGACTGCTTTTTTTCTTTTATTTCAGGAGCAGTATTCCAGATCGGGGTTACTTACATTTTTTTTCTTTTGATACATATATGTGTTAGTAAAAATATCTCCCTATTTTGACTAAAACTCAATCGTTCTCGTTTCTTTTTTTTTCTTTCTCACCCTGTGTCCTTGCTTTCTTTTGATCCAACCGGGAAGCTCCTGCTGAGTCCCGTCCTTGACACACGGAATGAGAGATCCCACCGCTGCCACCAAAATTTGTTGGATGTCGAGGAAGGTCGGGTGGTAAAGATGAAGTTCAGAACTTGTATTCTTATCTTTTATTTCTCCGATTACAACTCCTTTTGTATCTTACACGGTTGTATCTCACTGCGGTAAACTCTCCGGCTTGCGGAGCCACACAGTGAGCTAGCAGTCTGATCACGATATCTTCCCTGCTTCCTCCACGCGGTCGATTTATAGTAGATCGATCGCGCCGATTCAGCAGGCTCACCGGTCCTAGCAACGGCCGTGCTAGTTACCGGTACCGGTGTCGACACATGTTGCGTTGCACTTCGGACAATGCGGCGATGTGTCGCACCCGGCGGCAACCAGCAGTTCTTCTGAGAACTGCTACCTTTCTGCAACCTGCCCAGGTCATTGAGCAATGACAGTGATGTCTCATCACATTGCTCAATGGCCTCACCTTTCTTAACTTTTACACAAAGTGGCGCACAACAAACCGCATACGTATAAAATATCTGCAATTAAAGCTATCGAAAAATTACGTGTTCTAATTCTACATTCGCGAGTTTTCAGCACGTTCGTCTGTAACATAATCCGTTGAGATAAAGAGCGTCTTGATGTAATAAGATTCGTACCTTTTAGTTTTATACGCAGTTAAGTATAAAATAATCGTATGGCTGCAGTTAAACAGATTGACCGTGTACAAACGTTGCAGTCTGATATACTTTTAACACATACAGACTGTTAACACATGGATTTTTAACACATTTAAAGGATGAAGTATAAAAAGAAGCGACTTTTGACGAGTCTCATCAGTCTCACTCAAGTGTCATCAAGTCCCTAGACTCAGTCGCAAGTACATCGTAGTATTTATTAGAAGTCTAGAGAAATTATAATATAATGGATATTGTGCGAGAGTGCATCCAGCACACGACCATCGTTCAGCCAGCTGCATCTCACCTACATCACACGGTAAATAAGGTGGTCAAGAGCATTCAAAAACTCAACACCCAACTGCACCAATTGCAGAAATACGACCCGGAAGTTAGAATGGGTTGGAGAAATGGAGCTCAGCTTCCCCAGCAGTTGTCAGTATCAATAATATATTTCACATACTGCAAGTGTACACATTGTACATTGTACATGTTGCATTTTGTTTCAGATTGACGGCAACAGATATCATGAGAGACTTGACAGGAGTGCTGCAGACACAAACAACCCGCTTTGAGGAAATGGAGGGTATGGTAAACCATTGGATATTATTCTGTGTATTCTGTTTCGTATATTGCTTCTACTTATGCCATCGTATATATTATTGTATAATAAACGACTTTGTTTGTACAAACAATATCTTTATTACACCCCTTGTCTGATCCTAATGCGTCCTTGCAACACAGAACTAGATTAGGTAAAAGTATATACTTCATCGGTGTTATGTCGTGCTAAAAACAAAGCTCTGCAACTTAGTCACATTCATCTCGCTTCGCACTACGTTCTACATATAATATAAAATTGCAACTCTACAACTCTGCAACTTTCTATACTCGTCTCGCTTTGCACTGCATTTTCATCGGAATAAATGCTACACGTCTCATAACATTTAAACAATGTTGCGTGTAAATAGTATGTATAAATTTCTTAATAAAATCTGAATATAAAATTGAAGATTACGTCTTTGTTATTTCTCTCCCAAACTACAACGTCGCTTGCACCGCGTATTATGTTACACTATATCGTTACACTATATACAAATTATGCGGTTTCTAACTCAGTGACTCCGCATTTTTTTTAGAAAGAAAATACAACATTGCACCTTACACTAAATCAGACTCGTCTCGCTTCGCACTGCATTCTCATCGTAGAATACAAACGTCAACACATTGTGTGGTTTCTTAAAATATATTGTTTGATTTTATCCATTATATAAAAAGTACATACCTTGGAGTCGCCATATTGTCGTATCGCCATACTGTCATCGGGGCCTGCCGCCATATTGTCGCGTGACGTCACTTCCTGTGACACCACCGTATTGCCGCGTGACGCCATCGGGGCTGCTGCCAAAGTGACGTCATTTCTCGCTCCGCCATATTGCCGCGTGACGTCATATCCCGTGACGTCATATTCTGTGACGTCATAGCCACGCCCCCGAGTGACGTCATAGTGACGCCATTTCCCGCGTGACGTCACACACCCCCTCCCCTGAGCGATGACGTCATTACCCCCTCCCCGCGTGACGTCATTACCCCTCCCCCTGTGACGTCACGCCCCGCGCCCCCACCCCTCTCCTGTGTGACGTCACCTCTCCCCCTGTGACGTCATACCTTGCACCCCCCTCGGAGCTCCTGAATTAGAACCGGCCCTGTTAGACTACTCAGATATATTTTTAATATAAGGTAAATCAATTAGTTTTTTATCAGAAGGGCGGGTGTTCAAGTTAAAAGATCCATTAAATTTTTTTGAGATAAAATTCTTAATTCTAGCGTTAATGTTAGTAAAAATAAAATCGAGAGGATAACCGTTGTCGAGTAAAGTGTTGACGACAAAATTAATATTTTTGTTGTGAAAGTCAGGGTGTGATAAAAGAAGTGCTCGGTCAATAAGACTAAAAATTGTGCCTCTTTTGTGGCACAAACGATGATGGGAAAAGTAAGAGAGAAATCTTCCCGAAAAGGTTTTCTTATGAAACCAGTCGATTTTTAATCTGTCATCAATGACTTTAATAGACACATCTAAGAAATTTATAGACCGATTATCCTCCATTTCTATAGTGAATTTAATCCTGTCATGAAACGCATTAAAAAAATCAGTAATCTCTTCCACAATATTAGATGGAGCTGCCATGACAATGTCATCCACGTAATGAAAATAAAAAGGAAGTAGTCTATTAAATTTGTAAAGAGCCTTATTTTCGATGTCTTGTAAAACAACATCCGCTATTAAAGGTGATAGAGGCGAACCCATTGGTATGCCAAAAGTCTGTCTGTAGATGACATTGTCAAATGTAAAATACGTTGAAGACAATATAAAGATTAACGCATCAAGAAATTCATTTAATGAAATATCTGTGTTCTTCGAAATGTATGACCATCTGTTTTTTACATCGTTTATAGCTAAATCTATTGGTACATTAGTAAATAAAAAAACAACATCCAAAGAAAAAAGAACGTTATCATTATCAAGTTTTATCGTGGAGATTTTTGACATGCACAGATCTGTTTTTCACCTCAATCATAGGATTTTTTCATTGAACTCTTTTTTATCTAATTTCTTTCCTATATATATTTGGAACAGGATCCTTGAACATCATGAGAATTCTTTCAACAATTTCAAAAATAGACTTTTTTACAAAAAACACGAAAAAATAAGTTGGCTTACAAAAAATTTAAACAAAGAAACGTTTAATAACATTTCTCCGATAAATTATTACTACTCTACAGACCATTCAAATGTCTTTGGTAAAATGGTTTTTGATACTAAAGAAATTACAGATGAAAATCTGACTTCTGTATGTGTTCCACCTAGCCGGTTTTTAAACAAGGAACCAACCAATCCGTTATCTTTTAC